TCTTCATTGGTCATTTGCATTTCTTCTGTGAATTTCTTCTTTGTGTCATTTGTCTATTTTTCTACGGTGCTCTTGATTTTATTATTATTAGTATTTAGTGACTTGTAAGAGCTCTTTCAAATACAGAGAAACTAGTGTTGTTCCCGAGTGAGCAAGAGATCTTACCCTGGGGTTTTCAGGTCTCTACATGGTCCATCAGTAAGTTTCAGGAGGGCCGTGCACACCCTTGAAATTCCGTGCCAACAAATTGTGTGTAGGTGCCGCTCTCAGCTGTGTCATTCTGGAGGGGAGGGTCCATTACTTTCACTGGCCTCTGGCAGGTCTGTGTGAAGGCTAAAAACCACTGCGGTGGCCGGGCACGGTGACTCACGCCTGTAATCCCAGCACTTTGGGAGGCCGAGGCAGGTGGATCACCTGAGGCCAGGAGTTCAAGACCCGCCTGGCCAACATGGTGAAACCCCATCTGTACTAAACATACAAAAATTAGCCTGGGATGGTGGCGGGCACCTGTAATTCCAGCTACTCGGGAGGCTGAGGCGGGAGAATCGCTTGAACCCGGGAGGCAGAGGTTGCAGTGAGCTGAGATCGCACCACTGCACTCCAGCCTGGGTGGCAGAGTCAGATTCCATCTCAAAAAGAAAAAAAAACCCACACAAACCACTGTGGCAGGAGCGTTTCTATTCACTCTTCGCTCTCCCACTGGAGACAAAAAGCTACACAGGCTAGAGAGTGACCAGGCAAGAGAGTGACCTGATCACCATTTAAAGTGTTTGGCTATGAGAGGTCTGTCTAAGGGAGGCTACTGGTTTGTTCTTCAGGGTTTTCATTTTCTGATCTAGAGCAGGGGTCAGCAAACCACCATTGCCAGGCCAAACCCAGACCATCGCCTGTTTTTGTAAACAAAGCTTCATGGGGCAGAGCTGTGCCTGTTTGCTCCTGTCTGTGGCTGCTTTTGTGCTATAGCGGGAGAGTTACGCAGTTGTGACAGAGACCATATGGCTTGTAAAGGCCAGGCACAGTAGCTCACGCCTGTAATCCCAGCACTTTGGGAGGCTGAGGCGGGTGGATCACCTGAGCTCATGAGTTTGAGACCAGCCTGGCCAACATGGTGAAACCTCGTCTCGACTAAAACTGCGAAAATTAGCCAGACGTGGTGGCGGGTGCCTGTAGTCCCAGCTACTCAGGAGGCTGAGGCAGGAGCATCGCTTGAACCCGGGAGGCGGAGGTTGCAGGGAGCTGAGATTGTGCCACTGCACTCCAGCCTGGGCAACAGAGCGAGACTCTGACTCCAAAAAAAAAAAAAAAGTCTACTGTCTGGCCCTTTATGGAAAAAGTTTGCCAACCCTCGGTCTAGAGGCCCCAAGAAGCTGCTACGTCACTGTTCCTCATCTGAGGGCATGTGCTGACACCCACCCTTCACACCCACACCCTCTGGCTGCGGGGCCAGCCTTCCTTCTAAGTCGTCTCTTTCCCCCTCCCCCAGGGCTGGAGGGAGCTCCGTGGGCATTCCCCTGTCCCATGAGGCCTCTGATGAAGGCTCCAGTGCCGACTCCTTGAGAACAGACCCCGAGAGGGAAATGAGGTCAGGGAGGACAGGCCGAAACAGTTGAGCAACACCCTTGGGCTGACCAGGGCTTCTGCTGAGCAGAGCGGAATCTCATTCCGAGACAACCCAGGCCTTTGGAAAGCAGAACTGTCGGCATCGGCTCCCGGAGACGCCAAGCTCGGGGCACAATGGCACTTTCTGTGTGTGTCTCCCACCCGTGTTCTAATTTTGGGGACAAAGGAGTCTCCAGGGTCGCCTTTAGGAATTTCTAACTCCGGCCGGGAGCGGCGGCTCAAGCCTGTAATCCCAGCACTTTGGGAGGCCGGGGCGGGCGGATCATGAGGTCAGGGGATCGAGACCATACTGGTTAACCTGATGAAACCCCATCTCTACTAAAAATGAAGAAAAAATTAGCCGGGCATGGTGGCGGGTGCCTGTAGTCCCAGCTGCTCAGGAGGCTGAGGCAGGAGAATGGCGTGAACCCGGGAGGCGGAGCTTGCAGTGAGCCGAGATCACGCCACCGCACTCCAGCCTGGGCGACAGAGCGAGACTCCGTCTCAACAACAACAACAACAAAAAAGGAATTCCTACCTCCAATCTTCAACAACCATGTTGGGGCCGTGGATAACAGCTCTGTGATAACCTAGGAATCAGGGGGATGGCGTTGCCATGGAAGCCTTAATTTGGGGACTTCCTGGGTCCCAGGGGGCTCTGTGCTGCATGGGCTCTGGTCTAAATACCGATGACCAGGGGCTGCGAGCTGTTACCCCCGCTGGTGGAGAGGGGGCTCCAAGTGGGCACACGCCTTTTCCTCGTAGTCCAGGAGGAGATGGCCGCGAGCCCTCCTTCCAGGGCCCAAGAGGTCGGCCCCCATGGTGGCTTTTCCTTCCCAAGTGGAGGCTTCGAGGGGCAAGGGTGGCTCTCATGTCCGTAGGCTGCCCAGTAGCCAGTGCAGGCGCTCCCAGGGCCCTGCAGCACAGGGCCTGGGCCACCACGTAGCATCCGTGGAGGGCGGATGCCAGGTCACTCCACGGGGGCAGAGCACTCCCCATGGTGTGGAGCTGCAGCCTCCCGCGGGACATCTGGATGGCACTCTCCATGTATGTTTGCTCAACGCCTCACGTTCGTACGGCCCTTTGCGCTCGCTTCATCGGCTGCAGCACAAACACGGCCGGCGGCTGAGGCCGCATCTTTGGGTTGCCACCCTCCAACCCGGAGCCTGGGTTGCTTAGAGATGGCAGCAGCTGCGGCCAAAATTGTGAACCTGCCATTTCCACTCCATTACGCTGACCCCTGTCCCCGTGGGTGGGACGGGGAGTTCTGAGCAGAAGCCACACAGAAAAGGAGGTTTCAAAATGTTGCCAGGCTCCCTGATGAAACATTTCTCTGTGGCTTTTCCCTTTTGATTCCTTCAAGTCTGACTTTAAACCTGAGGAAGACATGATTTCATGGGAGTTGGGATCTGAGGGAAGTGAAGAGGATGCACGTCCCTCTTCAGATCCTGGCAAGGAGGGCAGGGCGGCAGGTGCCCCCAGAGAGGGACAGGAGTTTAGCGCCCCAGCTCAGTAGATCCCGCTTCTGCAGCCAGGACAGGGTCCCGCGGTGCCCCCCGGCCGGCTCTGGAGGGTCTAGGTGCCTGGGGAGCCGGACTTGCCGGTGCCCAGTGCCTGTTCTGCCTCCCCACCTTCCTCTGTTTCTGGCCCGTGCCTTGGGGAAGCTTAGGCAGTCAGCTGCTTGCCGTTGGTTTGGGGAGAATTTGCCATCTGAGGGTTCTGTCTCATGAATTCGCTGCAGCATGTGACCGCATTCAGGGCTGGACAGAAAGGCCAGTGGCACTGGCAGGGCTGGACCTGGCTGGGAAGGCACGGGAGGTGGCGGGGGGAGGGGAGCATATGCCCTTCCTCTCCCTTCAGCACTGAAGCAGAAAGGTGAGCACAAGGACCTTCTGGGCAGCGTGTGCTTGGAGGTGCCTGGTTGCTGTGGGTAGGAAACAGCCCAGCCTGGCCGAGTCCACCTGTTCCGGGATCCTGGCCTGTGCAGGTTGTACAGAAGTCTGGGTATGTATCCCAGCCACCTGAGGGCAAGGCTCCCTCTGGAAGGGACCCAAGGGCCAGAATGCCAGCCCCCACCCACCGCTCAGCCCCCCAGCCTCCTGCAGGCCAGGGAGGACTCGGGAGGCCGTGGATGTAGAAAGTCAGGGCCTGGGGTGCCACCGTGGCCCCTTGTTTCTGCCTGCCTGCAATGCCATGGCCGGCCCTGGGCCAAAAGGCACGTACGTCCAGCATCTTAGAGAAGCTCCCCCGTCCGCACTGTCCCAGGGCCTTGGCCCTCCGGGCACTCCTGTCCGGTGACCATGCTCTATGGCCAGAATGCCAGGGGAGGGGCTGCCTGCAGCCGCTGTTTTCCTGTCTGGGAAGGTCACACAGTCCAGCCTGTTTATGCTGCAGCCAAGGAGCTGAGAGAGAGTCACGGGCTTCCCTGTGTGAGTGAGGCCGCATGGAGGCCGTGCAGCCCGGGCCGGCAGGACAGGTGCCGCCCACTCCAGCTCTGACCCGCGCGGAGGCGGCAAGGGGGCAGTGGGAAGCACCCGAGGGCTGGAAGCGGGGCTTGCTCTCCCACCTGTGAATGTGGTGGTGAGTCAGGAAACAGCGTCTGCTGCGTGTCTTCCCTGGCATCTCATTGCAGCACAGCTCTGGCTTCCCGCTTCCCCTCCGCCAGCCCTGGAGGCCCGCACTAGCGCTCTGCTCAGCACTCAGCCCTCACTGGCACCGCAGCTTCCAGCTTCCGAATAGCCATTATGCGCAGCTGAGACCGGCAGAGGCAGGGAAGCTGGGGAGCAAGTGAGCGAGAGGGGAAATGTGGGGAGTGATCCAGATGTGAGGATGACCCACGGGAGTCCACGGGAAATGCCAGCCCACTCGATACTGTGGCGCTGGACCATGGGGAGGTCAGCTGAAGGTGGCCAGCAGGAGGTGAGGGCAGGGGGCAGATGGGTGTAAAAGGAGCTTCAGAAGGAATGTAGGAAATCTCTAGATGGGGACTGGGCATGGTGGCATCCACCTGTCATCTCAGCTACTCAAGAGGATGACGTGGGCAGATCTCGGCATGGTGGCATCCCTCCGTTGTCTCAGTTACTCAGGAGGATGAGGTGGGCAGATCTCGGCATGGTGGCATGCCTCCGTCGTCTCAGCTACTCAGGAGGATGAGGTGGGCAGATCTGGGCATGGTGGCATCCCTCTGTCATCTCAGCTACTCAGGAGGATGAGGTGGGCAGATCTGGGCACGGTGGCATCCCCTGTCGTCTCAGCTACTCACGAGGATGAGGTGGGCAGATCAGTTGAGCCGAGGAGTTCTGTACTGTGTTGATGAGATGTCTCTGCTAAGTTCAGCATCAGTATGGTGACCTCCGGGGGGTGGGGGACCACCAGGTTGCCTAAGGAGGGCTGAACCGGCCCAGGTCAGAAACAGAGCAGGTCAAAAGTGTCCTGCTGTTCAGTAGAGGGATCATGCTTGTGAAGAGTCACTGTGCTCCAGCCTGGGCAATATAGCACGACCCCATCTCTAAAAAACAAATTTTAGAAAATGACTGGCGTGGTGGCTCATGCCTGTAATCCCAGCACTTTGGGAGGCCGAGGTGGGTGGATCACCTGAAGTCAGGAGTTCGAGACCAGCCTGGCCAACATGGCGAAACCCCGTCTCTACTAAAAATATTAGAAAATTAGCTGGGCATGGTGGCAGGTGCCTGTAATCCCAGCTACTTGGGAGGCTGAGGCAGGAGAATCGCTTGAACCAGGGAGGTGGAGTTTGCAGTGAGCTGAGATCGTGCCACTGCACTCTAGCCTGGGCGACAGAGCAAGACTCTGTCTCAAAAAATAAATAAGGAGGCTGGCCACGGTGGCTCACGTCTGTAATCCCAGCACTTTGGGAGACCGAGACGGGCGGATCATGAGGTCAGGAGATCGAGACCATCCTGGCTAACATGGTGAAACCCTATCTCTACTAAAAATACAAAAAAATTAGCTGGGCACGGTGGCGGGCACCTGTAGTCCCAGCTACTCGGGAGGCTGAGGCAGGAGAATGGCGGGAACCCAGGAGGCGGAGCTTGCAGTGAGCCAAGATCACGCCACTGCACTCCAGCCTGGGTGACAGAGTGAGACTCCGTCTCAAATAAATAAATAAATAAATAAATAAATAAATAAATAAAAGAAAAATAAACCTCTAGTTGAAGGGTGCAGATTGGATCTTAATAAGGCACATGTAAAAGCCGTGGGATCCAAACTGAAGTGTGTATTGATCGGGGCCACAGGAGGCTCCAGAGAGGCAGTGTGGTCTGGGGCTACGCACAGAGACTTGGCCTGGCTTGAATCCCCAGTTTGACCATTACTAGCTTGGGGGAGTCCCTTGACTTTTCTAATCTTTAAGGTTTTTTTTGTTTTTGTTTTTGTTTTTGTTTTTGTTTTTGAGGCAGAGTTTCACTCTTGCTGCCCAGGCTGGAGTGCAATGGCGCGATCTCAACTCACTGCAAGCTCCGCCTCCCGGGTTCAAGCCATTCTCCTGCCTCAGCCTGCCGAGTAGCTGGGATTATAGGCACCCACCACCACGCCTGGCTAATTTTTTGTATTTTTAGTCGAGACGGGGTTTCACCATGTTGGCCAGGCTGGTCTCGATCTCCTGACCTCAGGTGATCCACCTGCCTTGACCTCCCAAAGTGCTGGGATTACAGGTGTGAGCCACCGCGCCCGGCCTCATGGTGTTTTTTGACCAATAAAAGTTTTTAAATAGGTGGTCAAAAGTGTGTTTCAGCTTTTAGGGAGTTCCTAGCATTTGTGTCAAATGAAATCTCTGAAGAGAACCTGAAGGACGACCTTGACCAGTGAAACCCAAAGCGTAAACATCCTGACAGCAGTCAATGTGTGGCCACAATAGCATAACAAGTACGGGAGAAGAAAGGCTGTCTCTGTGGACACTAATTATTTATTTAAAGGGGAATACTAATTTGTGTTTTATCCTGTAGTTGGCTTCCTTTTCTTCCTCCCAAAGCTGTGGTGCCTGCCAGAGGACACTTCCCTCATTGACTGTGCCCAGGAGCAGCCTGATCAGAAGATTTTCCTTATGATTAAGTCATAACACATATAATAGCAACTATTGTTAATACCCTATTTATGATCTTTAAAACCCTCGGCCAGGCACGGTGGCTCACGCCTATAATCCCAGCACTTTGGGAGGCCACGGCAGGTGGATCACCTGAGGTCAGGAGTTTGAGACCAGCCTGGCCAACATGGTGAAACCC